ATATATATATATATATATATATTATAAGTCACTATAAATAAAAATAGTGACTTTAAATTTTAGAAGGATAAAAATAAAAGAAAAATATTTTACGGATACTAAAATCAATATTTATTTATTTTATAAAAAAATAATATTTACAAAATTAAGAAGGATGAAAAATTAAAAAAAAATTATTTTACAAGCACAATAATCAAAACTCATACATGAAATATTTAAGCCTCTAAAAATATTAATAAAATCATCTAATTACAAATGCAATTATCTATAGTCTTATCAATAAAAAGAGAAAGTATCAAAGGAAAGAAAATTATACAAAAATATCATTTTAAAAAATGGATTAATTTATACAATAGAGATTATTAAAAAAATATATATATAATATTTATGTAAAATGAAAAAAAAAATCTTTGTTTCCTTTTCAAAAAATCTTTGTTTTCACGATTAAGACTACTTTTATAAGAATAAAAAAAAATAACAAATGACACTCAAATATTATTATATTTATAATCAAATTTCTCAAATAAAAATATATATCCTATATTAAATTATATATATATATATGTACCTGTCTAAAGGATACACCAATAATCCTTTCGTGAGAAAGAGCTTGACTTTGGTGATATTTATGAAAAATGCCAACAAAAGGCCTTCAATAGTTTCTATATGGCTGAGGGGTATTTGTATAAAGAAGGGAAGTTGTGCATTTATTTGACCTTTTAATTGATTATTTCTATACGCTTACTAAAAATAATCAATTACCAACTTAAAATACTCGATTATTCCAATAAGGAATACTCAATTCTAAATTTCCTAACACTTCAATATTCAATTTAACACTCTCATACTTACTTCAACCTTTTAACTCAATCATTTCATACATTTGAACATAATCATGTTTACTAAAAACATTTAAATCAAACATATCAACATACAAACACTTTAAGCATACTTCAATCATCACAAACATGCTTCACTCAATATACAAAGTTCATTTCTAAGAAGATTAAATCTATCTCTTAGTAGAGGCTTAGTGAATATATCAGTGTTGAGATTTCCGTTGAAGTACTTTTGTTATAATTGTAAATCAGTTTAATTCTATCAACGGTCCCAAACACGGCAAGTATACCGGCCGTTCAAGTAGTAAAAATATCGTATCCACAGGGATTAGAAGGTAAAATAAGCATTTATTGACTATTCGTGACTAAAGAATAATTCCAATTTATAGTTTGTCATGTAAATGTGAGATGAAGAGCATGACTATTGGAATGTTAAAACTATAAAAAGATTAGTTTTAGAATGGGAAAGGGTAGAAATGGGATAATGGTATTGTGAGGTTGTGGGGGTCAGATTTCACCGAACGAAACACTAATGTATCCTTAATCTCTTGTTAAATTCATTGCTTAGTCAACCCAATAGTTTACTCAAACCTAATCCCTTAGAGAAAGAGCCTAGGTGCGGATATTGAATATCAATCCCTTGAGTACCCAATACCTACACCCGCATTACGGGCTAGGGTTTAAGACTACTAATGGGTCAAGCTCTATCCCTAGATACAATCTCCACTAGGCATATGTTCCAGAACTAATTTCAAAGGTATTTCCCAATACTCAATGGAACCTTAAATCATGCAAAGGGTGATCAATCCAAAGCAAGCATTAAGCA